TATACAGAGGACTGGCATTTTTAGCATTTTGAATCCATTATATTTCTGTAGTATTTCCTTTCAATCTACCTAAAGCTACTTGTTGTGTTCCATTTGATATGATGAACATCAAGGACTTTCAAAGTGATGCTCTGAAAGGAAGAATTATTCAAGTTGATAAATGCTACTCTGGGGATTGAGAGACATGTTTCTACAGCTGAAGTGATAAATACATGGTATTTTCCACAGATCTGGGGTTTAAAAAAACAAAACAACAAAAAAACCCCCTTCCAATCAAATAGATTTTTCTATTGGAGAGATAACATTTCTTCATATAGCCAGGCTGAGCTGTGATGTAGGAATTTTCACTTTAAGCTCTAGTTAGTGTGGTACAGAAAGGTTTAAAACATGAAACACACTTTGTTTTCCAAACCTTCTTTGGTTTGCACTTTTGTCATTTGAAACAAATGGCATTATGTTTTTGATAAATACATTTTTAGAGCCTGAAAATGATGTCTCTATTCAGATGCAAGTTGCTAATTAAGAATTTATAAAATTGATGTCTTTTCATGTCAAAGGCTTACCTACCTACCAAAAATGTATTTTGCGGTAGTTTATCATCTGTAAGAACTTGATGAAGGAATGTTGTAATAAGAACTAGTAGAAGGAATGTTGATACTTCCAGGTCTTTTGAATTATTTTCACAGGTGTGAAAGAATGAGGTAGAAAGCATATTTTACCTGATATGTTTTTGTTGAGGGAAGAATCAACACAAGTCACTATTTTGAATATAACAGTAATTTAACTCTTAATGCTAAAAAAAAAACCCTGCATGGCCTTCAAAATCTATCTAGAATCTATCCTTAGATCAGAGGATCTGTCTAGCTTCCAGCCTCATCTTAAATTGACATAAAGATATTTCTCGAAGAACAGTATTAGTGGGAACGTTTTGTTTCTGTACAGCTGCAGGACAGCTCTGCCCCTTGCTTATATAATAATGTGTAGAAACAAATTTATTTTCTACACTGTTTTAATTTGCATCGAACAAAACATTGTGGAGCTCTTCTTTTCTGAATGTGCCAAGTGAAAACAAGGAAACTTTTCTTCTAAATGCTGAATTGAATGTAGGGAAGCCATCAAATTAAAGACTGATTTCTGCTTTCTGAGCTGTGCATGCTTGTTGGATGATCTTCAGTCTTCACTCTTAATTTAGAACTGAGACCAGCAAGCCGGTAGCTCTGTACTTCTTCTGCAA